CACTAACTTTTTACCTGTTCTATTTAATTTTGAAACAGACACTATTGTCGCATATTTCTGGAATTCATGTCATATACTATTTATACACTATAGATGTGCCAAGGCATATGTCATGAATATAAATATCCCATGATATGTACATTCCTGAAGAATATAGTAGGTACATTTGGAGCATATTCTGTGGATATGTGTTCAGTACATGCTGAGCTTGTGACTAGGACATACTTGAGGATATTATAAGCACATACCTAACATCTGTTACGGTGGGCCTGTAACATATACTCAGGATGTACTGTGGATGTGCGCAATGCTTTTTTGGAGCATATCTAGCATATACTTTTCCTTGTCTGGAATATTCTGTACATGTGCTGAGCATGTACAATTGCTATGTGGGTAGTCACAAACCAGTCAGGCGTTCTTAAAAACCATTCCTATGAATCTGCTATTGTGAACATCTGTGGCAGTGGCGCACCCAGAAAATAGGTTTGGGGGGAGACACTGTGATATTTTCACAATACAAACTATGGCCTGATTTTTTATTTTTTTCCTAGAAATCTGGGAAACTTTGGAGAATGAAGAATTTTTTTATATATCCAGAAACTTTTCACCTTTTACATACCAAAACTTGATTGGAAAAAAAACAAAGATAGCAGAGCAGCTACGATTTTTTAATCTCTAAGAGACACTAGTGATATTTTGACAATACAGATTATGGCCTGATTTTTGATTTTTTTCCAGGAACAATGGCGCACCCAGAAAATATATTTGGCGGAGGGAGGCCCTACATAGGTTGTGTCTTGTGACTGAAAATCTAAAAAAAAAATGAGGGGAGTCAGGGTACCACGCCCTGAATTTGCTACCTTTTTTATACCTACGTGAAAATAAAGTTTTGCAAGGGCGGCCTGGGGGGGCCCTGGCCCGATGCCCCCCCCTTGGGTACGCCACTGATCTGTGGTAATTTCCTCAAAGCAAAGCAATTAACTGTGATAATATTGTGTTGGCTGTTTTCCTAGATTTTGAGAGAGCGTTTGAGACTGTTTCCAGAGATATATTGTTGAATAATAACATGGAAAATATGGCAATTGAAAGTACCTACTGTTCTCAGGTCTGTCCTCTGTCCAGGAGTGGACTGTGAAGGGTTGCTGAAAGAAGAAGAAGAAGAAGACTGTTCTCAGTTGCTTTCTGTTTTATTGGGTCCACTGTTGTTTTTATTATACAGGCTGTACCATTTAAAACGATGCAGGCTAAATATCTGATGCCACGTTTATTTTTAGAAAAATCGTTCGTACACGTAATTTGATTTTCAAAGGGGGAAGTTTTTGTTGTGTACGGGGCTTAACAGCAAGCAACACTTGTGCGCAGGCACATGACATGGAACTATGGAACAAGGAGACAGAACGACAGGCTGACAATCGAATTTACAGCTAGCCCAGGAGACAACGGACTCCCAGAATCGTACCGCGGATTATCTAATAAATAATGTAATCTATTCGTAATACGTGTTTTATTGGCTCCCCTTGATACCTCGAAAAATAGTAAAGACATAACAGTTTTCTGCAACCATTTTTAGAACTTTAACTTTCTAGGCGGGGTGGGACCAACCCCTACTATTTCAAATGGAACAAGGGGTCGAGTGATACCTCTTTTAAAAGAGCGTTCAATTTTCTTTCATTTGAAAGGAAATGGAACACTCTTTTAAAACGGGTATAACTCGACCCCCTGTTCCATTTGGATGGTAATGGTTGGTCCCAACCCCCCTAGACCGTTAGGTTTAGGCTGAAAATGTTTCAAACACTCACACAATCAAATTACGTGTACGGGCGATTTGAAAAAAAGTGGCATCAGATATTTAGCCTGTTTCGTTTTAAATGGTATACCCTGTATATAAATGATATAGGTAGGGGGGTAGATAAAAGTAAAATTGTATTGTTTTCCGGATGACACAATGCTGTACTTTGTTGGCGGAGATGTGAACCAATTGCAACAAACTGTGAATGACGAATTAAGTAAATTATATGAGTGGCTCTGTGATAACAAATCTTTGCATCAACGTTAAAAAATCTAAGTTTTGTGTGTTTGGTAAAATATCAAGGGATATTGATGTAAATAATATTCATATCAGTATGAGTAATAGAGCTCTGGCACATCAAAACCAGAGCAAGTAGATACTTGGTGGTCATTTTAGATGCAAACTTAAACTTCCAGGCTCATGTTGACTATGTTATGAGGAAATTTTCTAAAAAAAATTAATTCCTTTCGAGGGTGGGAAATAACTCGTCGATTGTCACAAGATTGCTGTTGTATGTTGTATTATATCATTGCCCTACCTCATTTACAGTTTTGTTCTACACTTTTATATGCATTACCGGCTTTCAAAGTAGAACAGATTCAAAAAATACAAAATAGGGCTATGAGCAATGAGGGTAATTTTAAAATGCAATCGATAAACTCTTATCAGGGTTATGCATGATGTTAAAAAAAAATCAAGGCCCTGGAATAGGTAAAACATTAATTTTCATTTACATCTACAAATGTTTTCTTGATTTTTATTATATTTCTTCTCTTCATTTCTCAATTTTTGTGTATTCCCATCTCTTGAGTTTCCGTTTCCTTGTAAATTTCTCTAAATAGAGAAAATTAAAGAACTTGGACTAAAAATAAAATACTTTGTGCCTACTTGTCTACCAATTTCTCCTCAATTTTACCCAAACTTCTTTTCTATATTTCTCGATTTTTCCAGTTCAATTTTTATCTATTCCCGGCTCGTGAAATTGTCGAAATGAAAATTCGAGAGCCAGTTTCTGTCCATTGAGTTTCCGTTTTTTTGTAAATTTCTCTAATGAAGAAAATTCAAGAGCTTGGACTAAAAATAAAGTATGAACCAAATATACTGTCGCGGCTTTGGGTTGCCTGCTGACAAAAATCTTAGGTTCGTCGTTTGTTTCGTTTATTCCAAAAATCAAAGTCCAATTAACACAGCAATAATTTATTCCACTTAACAAAACACTCTGACACTACAAAGGGATGTCCATGCAACATTTTCAAAAACACCTTGTATCTGAAAAACGAAAAGAGCGATGACAATTTTATTAAGGCATCTTTCGTTTGACAGAAAAATGGCCAACGGTCACGAAAATCGCATCCTTCTAACCCCAATAATAGCAACTGACCAACTGAAATATCCCTTACTTATGTACCGGGTATTTCACCTAAGGAGGTGACCGGCTATATCTCAGAAATAACTCTAGAACTTTGAAAAAAAAAAAAAAAAATGATAAAAGCGACCAAGAGAAATTGCTGGAAATTATTTTCAAGTTTGTAGGATAACCGCTAGGGGTCACAACTGTAATGTTAAAAGATAAAGCTCTTTCCACAATTTTATTTCACATCGGACAAAAATTTATACCCGAGCTTTTTTGTTCAGAAAGTATCAAAAATTAAAATGGTGATATTTATTGACGTCCCTAATCCGATATTTTTTCGAGATAAGTCTATTTTTATCTTTTGACATTACAACTGCGACCCCTAGCGACCATCCTACAAACTTTAAAATAATTTTCAGCAATTTCTCTTGGCCTCTTTTATCAATAATTTTTTTTCTCCATAGTTCTATAGTGTTATTAAGTTTCTGGGATATAGCCGGTTACCTCCTTAGGTGGAACACGCGGTACATACAAGGTGGCTCAAAATTTGAGCCTCATCATTGGAATCTCGGAAGCCGTAAGAGATAGATACGGGGTCGGTTAAACTATGACAAAATTGCGCATTTTGATACTTAACAAAATACCGTTGTGAAAATTTCGAATACTTCCAGAGATATTCGGAATAAATCGAAATTTCACAAAAGCGTTTTTATTTTTTTCTGAGCTTATTTGAAGAGATATCCCAAAATAAATCTCACTTGATCACTGGCACTTTTTCTTCTCTACAAAATACGTATTTAAAAAACTTACGTTGATGATGGTCGCCTAAAGACGAAACGTCAGATTTTAAATTTGATGGCAGCATCTTGTAGAGGAGAAAAAGTGGCAACAATGAAATAACATTTATTTTGGGATACCTCTTCAAATAAACTCAGAAAAAAAAAATGAAAACGCTTATGTAAAATTTCTGTTTATTCCGAATATTTCCGGAACTATTCGGAGTTTTTAAATTTTCAAAACGGTATTTAGTTAAGCATCAAAATGCGCAACTTTGCCATAATTTATCAGACTCCGTATCTCCGGTTCCCGAGATCCCAATGATGAGGCTCGAATTTACGCCACCCTGTATACAACCAAAATGGGACACACTGTACAAACTTTTTCCTTTAGAAAAGTATCTGTTCTCCGGTCTAAGCTTTTGAAAAGAGTTCCAAGAAAACTATCTACTGAGCTGATAAATATAGGTATAGGGTGTCCTATTAGAGTTAAAATCTCAAAGTCGGGACCAATTTGAAAAAAATTAGGCACGTCATTAGATTTTGCAGGAAAACCTGCCTCAAGAAAGATTAACAAAATTGAGTCTTTTAAGATGATGTTTAAAATCTAGAAATAGATGTTTCCTATCAAAAAAGTCAAGAGTATAAACCTACAGAGTAAACAAAAATAATTTGGGAAGATTCAGGTGAAGAGCGAGGAAATATTGTGATAGGGATATTTATTCTTTTAAATTCTCTATAAACAATAAAAAACAAGACAACATAATCCATAATCATTATCATCATCATTAATCTGAAGGGAAGAATATTGGAGAAGTGTTTGCTTGACAAGGATTTTCCTCCAATTTCTACACTCAGTGGACTGGAACATTCACTTTACAGAAGATGCTCTAGAGAATTTCAAAAGTGACTTTTCGCCAAAGCCCTGAACTCCCACTGCATATTGTGTTGAATGTTAATTATTGAAACAGAGAAGTTAAACTTTGAGATTTTACTTAGATTGAATAGGTGCCTAAGAGATGATAAAAAAAAATTAAATAACCAATGTTAAGACTATTAGTTTTTTTTGTACTGTACCTACTTTTTAGTTTCAACTGCATGTCCATGTTTTCGTTTTCCATATCCAATTTCCAGGTGGCGCACGTCAACTTGTAAATCTGAACATCTCGCTTTTTTTTTTCTTCCGCTAACTTCAATTGATCTTTACGCGTTTTTTCGGCTATACGTCTATTTACTGTTATGTTCGATTCGATGTTTGTTTCCCATTCAGACACCTACAAAAATCATACATAAATATAGATAATAGGTATTCCTTAATTGAACAATAATTATTACTTGATTAATAAGTAAATTCACTGAATTTATTTCATTTTGGATTTCCAAATTTGTTTTTTCAGACTCTATCAGATTGTCAGTAGCTTGTCTGTATATTGATTTCTTTTCTTCTAATTTGATTGTTGTTTCTTGCCTCGTAGCTATCATATTCTGAACATTGGCTATTAGTTCATCCAAAGATGTTTGCTGCCTAAAGAAACAAATGGGATCTTTCACTGAAATTTTAAAACTTTTTATCTACATAGTCAAGTTGTATTCAGCACTCACTTATTATTACTGAACTCATGTATGTAGTATCGAAAAGATTTAATTTTAATAAATCCATACTTACTTGCAAAGCATTAACTGAGCATCGTGAGTCTGTACTCCTATCCGTTCCGCTTCCTCTTGATTCTTTTTGGTTTCGGTTTCGTAATCGAAAATCTCGTTTTTCAATCGGTTAATCTGATTCAGATAATGCTCTTTGACGGCCGCCTGAAATTTTATCATCAGCGGATTGTTCGGATCCAAAATGGATTTTTCGTGTGGCTTCATTATCTCATGTTCGCTCATGGTTCAATATTTGTTTGAAAAAATTATCGAGAGCTGTAAAATCTGCTTGAAATATTTTGTCACTTTGACTTGACATGTTTGCTTTAGTTGACATCAGCGAATACAGTTTTGATGATTTGAAAATCTTACAGAAAGGCTACTAAAAAAAATAGTAAAATCATGCTTAATTAAATCAGAATGCGGTTTTCAGTTAGGGGATATCCTTCATTTAAAAAACGAATAGATTTTACACAAGTTCCTACTTTAAACGAAGCTGACCTAAAAGAACAACAAATTAAAGGATCCGGACCGGGAGGACAGAAAATTGATAAAACATCCAGCTGTATTTTTCTTAGACATATTCTAACTGGTAACAAATACAAGTTTAAATAAATTTTTTCAAGTAGGTACATATCATTCTTTTTTTAAGGTATGGTAGTAAAATGCCAGGAAACAAGATCAGTTTATCAGAATAAAAAGATAGCGAGGCAATTGCTTGTTACGAAATTGGATAATTATTTTAATAAAGGAAATAGTGTGGAGGCTCAGACACAACTGCTACAAAAAAGGAGAAGCGCTTTATACGAACAGAAAAAAGAGGAAGCTAAAGGACAGTGGAAAAATATTGAAGTAGGCTTATGACAAAATAAGCAATCGACCAAATCAAAAGTAGAATTAAATTTTATAAAGAAGTTAAAGTGAAATCATACTGACAATCAATGTAGGTATGGAGTTTGGGCGGTCCCAAGTGATTATTTTAAGTAGAGATTTAAGTCAAAATACCAACATGAAAAGAAATTGAAACTGCAATATTTCTGACGGAATGTGGGAGAGTGTAATGACCCAGGAAAAATAGATCCGTAATTTACAATTTCTTAAAAGTATAAATTAAAAGTAATCAAATAATCTAAAACTGAATTTTCAGTATTTCAAATCGGTATCAATAAATTGAAGATGAAACAAATTAGCATTGACCCAAATTAATTAAAATATTTATATACCGTAGAATGGGGTGAATAGGATCACTTTTATACTTTGAAGTGGTGCCTCTCCCAAAGTAATAGAGTGAAAATTCTGATGTACATATCAAAACATCAGTCTATACCTGGGCTATCCATTTTTGAGTTCCAATATTTTTTATGCCGACTTGTTGTCCATATATATATTTTTTTTTTGGCTGATCCTATTCACCTGCCATTGTGGTGAATAGGATCGGCAATGATCTTATTATGCCTTATCGTATTCACCTTCTTGTGGGGTGTATAGGATTGCAGAAATTTTATATGTGAACTCTACAGATTCTTTTTTTTTTTGTTTTTCACTCAAAAACAAGGATCAAACGCATTTTTTTATTGATACATGTTAACAGGTATATGTATTATCTAACAGCAAAATCTATTTAAATTGTTTATTATATTCACATAAACGAATTTCAAATCTCATAAGACCTCTTCCATATTTTGCCGGAGGATTCAGTTTTCCAGCAATTTGTTGGAAAGTGAACTCGTACTCGTCTTTCACATCTGGAAAAGTGTAAACATATCCTGAATAGTCTCTTGTAGTTTTTTCGCGTAAGAAGCTTCCTTCGTACCCGTCCTTGTTTATTTTTACAACTTGAGCTATATAATATTTGTTAAAGGCCTTGGATGTACTTGGTACTTTGCCATTGGAGAAATAAGGTAAGTTTATGAGTAACCAGTCACCAATATCAATGTCATCCTTGGTGACGGGCAAGAGACCATGTGAGATTGCTGGTTGGGGTGAACTATTCGAAATGTGAGGGTCAGCAGATGGCAGAACAATGTCTTCTTCTTCAGCACCATCAGAATTTCCATCAATTTCCTCCTCAAACTCGGACATGGGATCCATATCTGAATTTGAATCGTGAGTGCTAAAATTTTGGCTACTTTCGCCAGAAGACTCAAAATCATCAACTGCTACGCTTTTTCCAGCAGGTACATGGAGTTTTTTCTTTCGTTGTTTAGGTTGATTTTCATCATACCGCATCGACTTCAAAATGTGAACAAATGAAGTGTTTATGTCATCTTCCCTATCATTCGTTGGATTCTCCACAGGCAGCATGTTCAATACCCTATCAGCATTTAAAGGTATAATGCCGCATTTATCGAATCCGGCCATTATATTTTTAGATTTGTTGTCTTCAATCGATTCTAATAGCTTCCTTAATAAACCTGAAAAGACGTTTTTAGGAATACCAGATTCCTTTCTTCCAGGTCCTTTTTTATAGAATTCAACAATCTTTCTCCATGCAACCTTCAATGGCTTGAAAAAGGCAACATCTAAGGGTTGCGTCAAGTGGGTGGAGTTACTGGGTAAAAATATAAAAGTAATATTGTTCACTGAGCACTCTTGTATCGATTGTACTGATAGGTGCGACGATAAATTGTCACCAATTAATATCTTTTTGCCAGGCAACTTCTTCAAGTATGGTATGGCGATTGAATGTACCCAATCCTCGAAACAATAGCTGTCAAACCATCCCGATTTACTACGATTATATCTTGTACGGGGTGGCCCTCCAGTAGTCCAAGAGTCATACATGTTCAAGGCTTTGTAGACGACGTAGCATGGAAGTAAATCTCCACTACCAGAAGCAGCGAACATGATTGAAGTTGACGACTTACTGTGGTTCATAATTCGCTCCGGATATTTGCATCCCCTCTTTGCAATAATTTTTTTTCGTCCTGGGTCATCGCAAAGGTTGGTCTCATCGTAGTTTATGATGTTGCTGGCTGGAATACCTTCTAGTTCTTCAGAAAGGCGTTCGAAATACTCTGTTATTGTTACCCTCGTAACACCAGCCCGGGCTCGTTTTATATTTTGGCACATTCTCTCCGACAGCATATGCGAATGTCGTTTCAAAAAGCTATATGCGAACTCTTTACCAGGAAGATTGTCTTTGAAACGGGGCACCACCCTACCAGCTCTATTTAAATATTGTTGGATAACCAATCTTAAATCATAGGTATCTAAGGGGTAGCCCCACTCACTGCATGTAAGTAATTTTTCCGCAATACATTTCTCTTCGGCTTCACTTAACACTGTTTGACCTCCTTGTCTTTTAACATTCACATTTGCGAGGCGTCTTTGCAGAACGGTGTAAGGAATTTTGTGTTTTATAGCGGCTTGTCGAATACTATACCCGTTGTTATTAACATCATTTTTAGCCTCTTCAATGATGTTTGGATCAGGTTTCTTGTAAAGTTTTTGTCCTGCTTTGGGTTTATATTCTCTAGGCATTTTGATCCTATTGACCCCAGCCCTTGATCCTATTGACCCCAGCTCTTAATCCTATTCACCTCGATAACCTGAAAATCGTGCAACGAAATAGAAAATATTATTCAATTTTGTTTTTGCTTACGAATAAACTATAGCTATTCATACAATAAGTTACGAAATGAGCGTCTTTTAGGCACGCGACGTGAAAATTGTCCAACGAGGCATAGCCGAGTTGGACAACACGTCGAGTGACTAAAAGACATCGTTTCGTAACGTATTGTATACAAGATTTTTTCTACTGTCTTTTCATATTAGAAAAACACAATTTTATTTCATGTGAATAAGCCGATTACGCCCAAAATCTTTGTTACCTGCTTTTGCTTGACACCTGAAACTTTTCATGCGATTTTTTTTCAAGATTCGACATCAATAATTAAAATCCTAGAAAGTAGGTAACTATACAAAAAGTTCTGTTTTGAGTAACCCAAACGTTCAATTCAATAATTTAATTTTCAATAATCATAATAAATACAGATCAAAATTCAAATCTGTGTTTAGTGTGTTTTTTATTTCTGAACAATGAATGACACTTTTAGGCACTAGTGCTTAAAAATCACTTTTACGCACCTAAAAGTCACTTTTACGCATTCAAAAGTCACTTTTACACACTGAGTGCTTAAAAGTAACTTTCACGCACTCAGTGCTTAAAAGAATGTCGTTTTGAAACTAAAATGACAATCGAAAAGTTGTTATTATGAAACGTCAGTAGAAAATAGTACATTAAAATACAAGTTTCATAAGAAGTCATTTTATCGCACAAGCCCTATATTAGAAAACGAGCCGGAGGCGAGTTTTCTAAAGGGCGAGTGCGATAAAATGTCTTATGAAACGAATATTTTATACTATTTTTTCTATTTTGGTATTGATAAATTAAAAAAAACAAATTTTTCTTGGAAATTTTATTTTCATATTTCCTAATTTCATATGTTTAGGTTGGTAACACTACATGCCAAATAAAGAAATCTTCTATTTTAAAATCGCGAATGACAGTTCGATGGCCATCAGTCAGCCAGTGTTACCAACCTCCGATAAGTAAAAAAGGAGTGTCACAAAGAGCTTCTTTTCGAAACTACTTTTAGTGTCGAAAAGACTTCGATATGACACCAAAATAGAAAAAAATAATTTTGTGTGCCTTAGTTACTAACCTGTTGGAGTTAATTAGGCCAACTACTCTCAATATATGCTTCTCAAATTCGTATTTACAGACAAAGTTTTGGCGACAATGAAAACAGATGACTGACAGTACTTCTAATTAAGGCCTGGTTTACAGTGCTACCAACTGCTGAATGATAAAATATTGGTAACCTTTATGAGATATAGAGTTAGGCAACCAATCAAACTCAAATAGAAAGCATTCATTACGATATTAAGGTTTCGGAAACTAAATTGATAAACTCCCTCTTTTTGATCCTATTCACCACAGCGAATCTATTCACCCCATTTTACGGTACGTTCAAATTTAAAAAAAGCATGTGACCAAGCGTATGTCGTCATTTGAACGCAAAAATCAAAACCAGGAAAAGATTAAAAAGAAGGGCAAAGTAATTAAATTGGTGATTCATATGTCCTCTACATTCTTTCCCACTTCATTGACCCTAAATAATCATACAATTTCGACACAAATTTCGTCATCCTCCAAATGAGAAAGTTATATTTTTTTTTGGAATAATATCTAGGTCGACCAATAGAATTGAATTACAGATGGTCAAACGACCGCCCATATTGTCAATTTTGGTGATTTACGGCCAACACATTCTTATACGAAATCTGTTGACCCTGATAATCCAGCAAATTGCGACAATTATTCGGTTTTAAACAAATAAATATATTTCTTAGAAAGAAGAACGGTAAATGGCCAGTGTTGTGTAGAGGGACACGTGAAATATTTTGTGGGGAAAGAAAAATATAAAGACAACGGTTTCGGAATTTTTGGAATCAGTTTAAGTTTAAGTCTTAGTTTTCAGTCTGCAGTCTAGTTTGAGTCTTCAGTTCAGTTTTGAGTTTAAGTACCTATCTGATGATTGCCTCGGGAAAACGCGTTAAACTTTGAAAAAGTAGCGGAAAATTATGAAAGAAAGAACATCTAAATTCGTTCAACATTATGTGCGAGCTCTAAATAATAATCATCAATCACTTGTCGAGAATTAGACATCAGTAATTTATGAGAGCGTCAAGTTATACAACCACCTCCCACTCGAATTCAGGTGAATAAAAGAAATTAAAAAATTTGGCAAAGCAGTAATGACCTGCTTTGAAAAATATCCCTTTTACAATTATTATTGTGATGAATACTATGCTGAAGCACTCTCTTAGGCTGTATCTTTTGTTTTTTAGTTTAAGTTACCTACCTATTTCACTACTATGTCCTGCAATAATGCCTGCTCTGCCAGGCTTAGCTCCTAAAGTTGTAATATCTTGCTGTTGATTGTTGTGTTTTTTTTTTATTACTATGAATAAACTTGTTTGTCTGGATTTTCCGGATATAGTGTTTAAGTTGCTTTGTCAATAATTTTTATTGGGAAATTTCGACAATAAAGCTTTTTTGAATTTGAATTTGAATGCTTTTTGATTGAAAATTATTCAATGCTATGGTAACGTTGTCGGCCTAGGCAGTGTAGTGGTTAGTTTATGTGCACAAGGTGGTGGTGCAGTGTGCATCCAAAAAGAGTTTCATACTTGGTTCCCAGGTTCAAATCCTAGTTGAATCCATTTTTCATAGACTTGTAATTATAATGTTTACCAAAACACAGAAATCTTGTTTCTCTACACACCATTTACAGACACTAGAAACTCATTATTATTTTTAATTATACAAGATGTAATAAAACTAAATAGGTATGCAACATTTATAATTTTTGATTGTAAAAATTTAAGCTATAGGTAAATTTCTAACAAATTTATAAACTAAATCAAGGGCCCACTTGGGTTGATCAGATGGCACCATATGCCCCGCACCCCTTACAAGTACCTCCGTCATTTTCCCAGCTTGTTTGGCGTAGCCCGCAATTTCTCCATCTACTCGCCAAATTTTTCTTGGAGCTGTTTTATAGTCATCAGCTCCGTTGAAGTTTAAATTTTTCAGGAAATTCACCGTTAAAGGATACGCAACAATCACGTCCAATTGACCGTTGTAAAATAGTACTCGGTAGTTGTCCAGGAGTTCCGAGATCCACGGCGCGACGCTTCGCATGACGTCTTCGCGAAGATTTTCTTCTACGTTGTCGCTCGTATACGATAAGTTTCCAACGTGAATGGCTAGAACAAAAATAATTATTGAATTTCTTACCAGATATGGGATAGTTAACTCCGAACAAAAAAACTATTAGCACGCGAGAGCCGAAAACTGGAAAAATCGGAGAACATCCAGAGCAATTTGATACCAATGACAATGTCATTGTTTTATCTGGAGTAGTAGATCCTAGATCAGGAATCAGAGACAATAACTTGAGTCAAATATTACAAATTACTTGAGAATTAGAACCCGAAGTACTTGTAACATCAATTTCAGGCAGAGTAGACAAAAAAGGCCTGGTTCCAAAAACAGTGTCTCCCGCTACAGGTCTGTTCAATCCTAGCACAAAAAAAATCTTCACTAAATAGGGCGTATTTGATCCTGTTGATGAAACTTTGAGTGTCACAAATCCAAAAACTGGAAAAACTGAACTTAAACAAGGCCACAGAGATCCTGCTACCGGAGAAGTACTTTTCAAAGGCCTTGTCAATCCTAAAATCAACAAAATTGATAATTGTTATGGAAGAACTATTAGATTTTCTCTGAAGGAACTCCAAGTGGATCCAAGTATTATTGCCCAAAGTGTGGAACCTGAAAAACTTTTGCCAGTATCTCCTGTAAAACTACCTCCTACAGCTGCTATTTCTCCAAGAGACAAAAACAAAGTAATCAAATTATTGGTAATAACAGCCAAAAGAGATCCCAAAACAGGTCACTTGGATTTGGAATCGGGTCACGTAGATCAATCATCATTCAATCATCAATTGATTCGAAATACGGTTTGATTGATCAGAAAAAAGCTACTGTAACTATCACTGATCGAGCTACAGGAAAACGAAAAGCAGTTCACGGACAAAGATATCCAATTTCTGGCCAAATCCTATTACCTAATTGTCCAGTAGAACTGGAAACGTGATCCTAATTTAGAGCAAGTTATTACAGTTGTTGGAGATTATGGTAGTTCGGCCACTTCTGTTAAACAGGCTTTGCTTCTAAAAAGTTAAAAATCACAGAAAATTGTTCTTACCTTTTCGTACCTCCCTTGTTTGCAAAAACGTCTCATACGACCCATCCTCATCTGAATTAGCCAAAAAATTATAATAATTTTCTAATCCGGTAGCGTTTTCAAATAAAGTTGGTCTAGTAAAATCACCATTCAATATTACATCGAATACCAAAAAAGCCTTCAAGAAATCGCCACTTTTTATGTACTCTACAGTTTGAGTTTGATATTTCTCCAATATTCCTTTCGTATTGTCATCGATGAGTCCAATATTGTAGAGAAAATCTGCATACGCAGGAGTCATATTTTCTGGATCAGTTAAACCATCACCAATAGCTAATCCTTGAAGGTTTATTTTCAATTTACTTCCAGGATTTTTCTTATAGATTGTATAACCAATTGCTGGTATATATTTTCCAGCATAAGATTCACCTGTGATGAAGAATTCATTTTTTTGCAACTCGGGAAATAAAGTGAAAAATTGAATTAAAGCTTCATACAAATCTTCACCAACTTTTGTTTCGTTTTGTGCATAGCCTCCATTAGTGTAACTAAATCCAGTTCCTACGGGATTATCTATGTAAATTATTGAATGGTTTTTGGTCCATCTGTAATCTCTGAAGCTGAGCTCTTCACCATTAGTTACTACGAATGGGCCGGTTTCAACAAAGAGACCGTAAAGACTCGAACCACCTGGACCACCTGAAAATTTTATTTAGAACGCTAGTTCTTTGTAAAGCAAAAATGTTTACCTTGTAACCATAATAAAACAGGATCGTTTTTATAATCTCCTTCCGAAGGTATAAACCAGAAAAACATATTTGAATCGAAGGTTTTATCAACAGTAAAAAAGCCAGAATAACTTGGAATGCTGGAGAAACCTTCTATTGTAACTAAAGCGGCTTTTTTGGCTTCTTCAATTCGATTTTGCTCCAAATATGGAGTCAATATTAGAGGTTCTCCTGCGTCAACGCCCAGAGGAAGGTTTACGGTTTGAATTGGTTTGTAAACATTCGGAAAACCACATTCCGATAAAGATGTAGTAAGACTTACCACAAAAAGTATTAAATAATATTGCATTTTATTTAATTAGGAATAAATAATGTTCATTCACTGGATACTTTTGAAATAATAAATAATTGATAGAAAGAGTAATTACCAAGCAAGTATTGGGATATAAAGTGAAGTGAAGTGGCACTTTAGAAATATTTTAGTCATTGAACAATGAATGATTGTCTCAATGACCTTATTTCAAACAAAGAAACGTAAGTAGGTACTTAAGAAATGCTTGGTGACGTTATACGCTTGAAACATAGTTTGATTAATTTTTGCTTGAACTAATTTTTTAAGATTTCACTTTATCGGAACCTTGACCTTGACTGTTGTACATCAACCAGTTATCAAGCGACTCACAAATTTCAGTAATTATTTCCTATCTAGTAAAGTTTTATTTTGTGTCACAAACTATTTCTGAGCGGACTCATAAGCAATGTCGTCCCGCCTTTTCAATCATTCAATCACCATCTTACTTAATTACTTTTTTTTGTGCGAATTCTTCAATTTCCGAGTGATTTCTATTTCTGGGACTTCATTTAAGCTTCATTAGACACTTTTTTGAACGGAGGTAAAAACTTCTCAAGTAGTTTCCCCAATGTGCAAGCTGTGCTCGCACTTGGTTGAGCAGCGGGACGATACAATCGCTGCTCAATTGTGATTGTATCGTCCCGCTGTTCAACCAAGCCAAGTTGGGCAAGCGTAATCTGCGAGCACAGCTTGCACATTGGTTCTTCAAGCCTAAAACCAGTCCAGAAGTTTCGCTGTTCATCCAGAACGTCCGTCCATACAGCCAGTCCAGAAGAATCACCATCCGTCCACAACGTCCGTTCATACAGCCAGTCCAAAAGACTCGCCGTCCGTCCACAACATCTGTTCATACAGCCAGTCCAGAAGACTCGCCGTCCGTCCACAACGCCCGTCCATACAGCCAGTCCAGAAAACTCGCCGTCCTTCCACAACGTCATTCCATACAACCGTACGTCTGTCCAGAGTCCAGAATAAATAGTCATCAAAACAATCCAGTCGCTTTTCAAACACAGCCATGGCAGAAAAGGAGGAACTTGACCGTCTCGCACGAGAAAAAGAAAAATCAGGAATGCAAATCATTCAACTACTGAATAACTGCAAGAAAGACTCGGTCGACAGGAAAACCGAGGTCCAAAAGCACTTGACCAATCTGGATGCGATACTACAAACAATAAAACGAAGCCGCGATGATAAAAATGAAGGGGTACATCGAACGTCAATACTTCATTCACAAAGCAATATGCCCAATAATTTTATGCTAAATTCGACGAGTTAAAGATTTACTTGATAACATGCCCAAAGGCCAAACCAACAACAATCCAATCTGAGCCATCCATCGTCAGCATCGAAGAGAAACGGATAAAAACGCAAAACTTCAAAATACACCAATTGGAAGACACTCTCGCCCAAATTAGGTCGGAACTTACGCTAGAAAAATCAGAATTCCGGTATAAACATCTGATGGAATCAAGCAAGAAACAATGGGATGCAATCCAAAACCTGCATGAAGAAATCGCCGGAAGTGAAGATAACCATCAAGATAAGTACTTCACCATGGACGTGTACAAACAAATCCAGAGCCAATTCGATGATGTCATTGGAGCGTTAGCGGCAAAAATCCAGCAGAATGTCGTCATTCCACCTCAACAAATACTAGTTTATAATCAACCACAACAGAACCTACAACTACCAAAAGTACAAATTCCACTTTTCCATATAGGGTATGAAAACTGGTCTTCATTTTTCGACATTTTCAGAAGGGTCATCCATGAAAATTCAGCGTTGAACAAAGCCGACAAGATGTACTACTTAAAAACTAATACCAGGGGAAAAGCAAGCAAGCTAATCTGACACTTAGAAAGCCTCACGAAATTCAAGAGTTGGAAGAATTCATGAAATTCTTGGAAAGAAGATTCCAGTCACTAGAAACTATTCCAGGATCAGAACGGAAGCCAAGCTCAGAGAAAAAATATACTAACTCAAGCTGTCTCTTCTGCCAAGACCAACACATGACGTACCACTGTCAGAAGTTCAAAGGAATTGCAGCACAGGAAAGAAATAGATATGTTCAAGAAAAACGCATCTGCTTCAATTGTCTCATGACATCAATAAGAGATGTTTCAGCCACGCAAAATGTAGCATCTGCAGTCGTTAACACCATACACTCCTACATATGGAAAGACAGCAACAAATTTCCAACAGGCAGCTCAACTATAAAAAAAGACCGACAACTTCCCAACCGCGAAATACTCAACGATACCCACCACCAAAAAGAGCAAAAAATTACCCTCCAAGAGGCGCAATGTCTAACGACGCCAGTAGAAATGAAGAAAACGTCCTTCTCGCTACTGCTCTAGTAGAAGTGGGCACATCAAGTTCCCCTCAAATCTTGAGGATTCTAATTGATCAAGGGTCACAGATATCCATTATTACTGAAGAAGCTGCAAATCGGCTGGGATTACCACGTCATAGCATCAGAGCACAAATCTCAGGAATTGGTGACGGAGAACCAAAAGTCTCTAAGTGGTCTATTGACGCACAGATCAAACCACGATTTATGAGCACATTCTCCATGGATGTCAATATGATTGTCCTTCCAAAACCTACTCAATCCATGCCAAAACGACACCTACACATAAACAGCATAGATAGTTGGAAAAATGAAGTGCTAGCCGATCCAATATTCATGACACCAGGTGCAATAGATGGTATATTAGGCGCAAAGGAATACGCCAATATCATTTTAAACGGCATGCAAAAAAGTACAGAAGGCCTGTTGAAACAAAACACAGAGTTAGGATGGATTGTTTCTGGCCCAATAGCCTCCGGATCTCCCGTCATCCAAGTTGTCAGCATGATCACTCACTATGAAGAAGATAGACAGATAACCAAGTTCTGGGAAATTGAAGAAATAACCCAAGCGCAGCACTTAACAGAAGAAGAACAAGCATGCGAGATTCCGAGGGTAGATTCATTGTTAGAATCCCATTCAAACAGTCAGCAGATGTATAAGGTCACTCTAAACCAAGAGCAGCAGCAAGATTCAAGAACATCGAGAGAAATCAGTAACATCAAGATCCCAGTTTACAAGAACAATATTCTGCATTTATGAAAGAATACATATAGAGTTGGATCATATGAGAAAAGTCACCCGACATGAAAGGAATCAAGGGAAATATTACATCCCTCATCAAGCAGTCATCAGAGAAGCCAGCACAACAACGCGACTAAGAGTCGTTTTCGACGCATCGTGCAAAAGCTCTACCAACACCAGCCTCAATGACATCATGCACGTCGGCCCAAGACTGCAACAAAACATCACCGACATACTGCTGCGTTCAGACATAGAGAAAATGTACAGGCAGATCCGAATTCATCCAGATGATCAACAATTCCAGAGAATATTATGAAGGGAGCATCCACAGCAACCAATGTATGAATACGAAGTGACTACTGTAACCTACGGTACAGCCTCAGCACCATATAAATAAATAAATAAATAATACCTTTATTTTACATTTAAATCAGAAATTACAATTGCATTGGTTAATTTTGGATGGCGGTATCCAACTTTAGCTGCTCATTATAACCACCTTCAATGGCTTCAATCTAGCCGTCAAGACGCTACAGAAGCTTGCAATCGAAAAATCAAACAAATTTCCGGCAGCAAGCCAAGCAGCATTAAGAGACTTTTACGTTGATGACATATTATCGGGAGCAACAGAAACAGAATCAGCCCTAGATATACAAAACCAACTACTAAAAATGCTCAGCCTTGCTGGATTCAATTTGAGAAAATGATCTAGCAACTCACCGGCATTACTCCAATCAATTCCGGAAGAGTTCCGAGAACAGAAAATACAAGAATTACCTCAGGAAGATTTCAAGAAATCTCTGGGCGTACTATGATCACCAGCATACGATACCTTCAAATTCCATGTCAAAGTCTCCTAGATACGCGAATTAACGAAACGACAAATTTTGTCAGAAATATTCAAGTTATTCGACCCCCTTAGGAGAAGTAGAAAAATCAAGATTCCGAAGTAAATATACATCTGAGAAAAACAAAAATTGAACTTCACGGCTTTTGCGATGCATCAGGAAAGGCCTATGCTGCAGTGATCTACAGCCGGATAGAAGAAGAAGATAAGCGAATTATAACACTGCTGCAAGCAAAATCAAAAGTCGATCCAGCAAAAAACAGAACAACCCTACCTCGCTTGGAACTATGTGCTGCAGTCCTACTATGAAAATTAATTCAAAAAAATAAGACAGCACTTCAAATGGGTGACACCCAGACCGTCGCTTGAACCGATTCTATGATCACTCTTGCTTGGATAAAGGGTGACTCTACAAGATGGAAAACCTTCGTGGCAAATAGAGTTTGCGTAATACACAGAAACGTCCCTCAAGCATCCTGGAACCACGTCAAGTTCCAAGAAAACCCAGCAGACATCATATCCAGGGGATTGGACCCAGACAAACTACAATCAGCTGATCTATGGTGGAAAGGTCCTCATTGGCTGACGTTTCTCCGTGAACTCCCCACAACAGACAACATTCCCGACATTTAAGGAGAAGTAAAAGCTACATGTCGATAACTTGACAAGGATGCTCAGGGTATTATTCCACTGCCGTCAATTCATCTAAAAAGAGGAAAGTCTTACTCTATCCGTTCAAGAAGTTCAAGGCACTTTGGAAAGAATCATAAAAATAGTCCAACAACAGAGGTTTTCCTAAGAATACAAGTCTTTACAACAACAGAACGCAGTCGACATGAAAAGCAAGCTCAGACCCTCAACCCATTTCTTGACAGCAAGGGCATAATCCGAGTCGGAGGAAGACTGCAACACTCACCTCTTCCCTACGACCAACGACACCCGATGATTCTTCCATACCATTCTCACATATCTACATTGGTTGTGAGAAACGCCACAAGACCACGCTACATGGAGGCAACCAAGCGACATTTTCGTACATACGAAGCAGATTCTGGATCATCAACGGTAAGCGGGCTGTCAAAGCAGTTATAAATAAGTGCATTGTATGCATCCGTCACAAAGCCGAGACAGCACAGCAACTCGTGGGACAACTTCCGAAATCGAGAGTAACACCAGCACCACCATTTACAAATCCAGGAGTGGACTACGCCGGACCGATTCAAGTCAGAGCAACAAAAGGAAGAGGTCACAAATCCTACAAAAGGTAAATACATCACAGTATTCGTATTTCTAGTAACCAAAGCCATTTACCTAGAAGTAGTCAGTGACAAGACAACAGAGGCATTCTTGGCAGTACTTCGACGTTTCACAGCCAGAAGGGGACATTGTGCGAATATGTACAGTGATAACGGAACTACATTATTTGTTGGAGCAGCACGCCTATTCGAAGATGCACAAAATTGATATAATCACAATCTGTGCAAAAACACAATCGTCAACTTAGGAACACAATGGCACTTCATTCCACCAGCAGCTCCACATTTCGGAGGAATTTGGGAGGCAGGTGTAAAATCTATGAAGCATCATCTCAAGAGAGTGATTGGAGACTGCACTTTGACTTATGAAGAATTAACAACGTTGGTGTATCAAATCGAAGCATGTTTGAACTCAAGACCACTCTACCCGCTAACAGAAGAGAAGATTTCAACATCTTGACCCCAGGACACTCATAGGAAGAGAACTTCTAGCACCATCAAAATTGGAATCAACAGAACATTCTAACCTCTCTCAAAGATGGAGACACGTGCAAAAGTTAAAGGAAAACATTTGGAGCGCATGGTGCACAGAATACCTCACCAGACTGCAGTAAAGATACAAATGGAAGAATCAGACCAACAATCTACGAGTAGGAACAATGGTCCTAATCAAAGAAGAAAATATAAACCCAAACCAATGGCCTTTGGGGAGAATTATCGAACTCACCAGGGACAAGATGGAGCAATCCGAGTGGTAACAATAAAGAAAGCAGGTGGCTCACTACAAAAAAGACCGATCTACAAGTTAATCCCATTACCGACAGAAGACATACACCATTCACCAACCACTCAAAATCACTCAAAGGTACGGAGATCAGACCGACTACGGAACGTAGCATTAACATCAGCAAAATTATATGTATTGCTTTTTCTAGCAGCCATAATTATAATGATTACAACCGCCGGCGCCGCTGCAGAAACAGGGTTTAAAATCAACTATTCACAACATGGTTTTTACGTTAAACACCCCTTGGATCAGCAAAAATTGATTAAGGGATTTTTAGGATAGAGACAACGTATCCTAAGAACAAAACTGAAACGGATTTATCATATATCGCGGCAATGAACAACAATCAGGAAGAACTCATCAGAGCATCGAACTACCAAACAAAGTTCATGATCTCGGCCCTCACAAAATTCAACGGAACAGAAGCCAGAATCACGAAAAAACTACAATATTTCCAGAAACGACTTAACGAAGAAATAAAACCTATCAACAGCATGCAGAGTTGGTACAAGCAAATAGACACTAATGCCCCTAACATTCACATATTGAGTGCATATACCAAGTAGCTACCAACTTCATCAGCGAAACCAATGAGCACTATGATAAATTGCTGAACATCAACTTCAACAGGGGTACGATATATGACCAAGTTTCACCAGCATATATTAACGCCGTCATTCAAAAATCCAATCGAAAGCTCCCAAACAATCTAAAGATTCTTTCAGCAGCAGTGTCCAAAAGATTAATCACCAAAAACACGCACCTCAAGGTGTGTGGATATTTTGCAATAGTTGACGTGACGGAATTCACCCTATTGAAGGCAACACCGATTCCACTCAGAATTGAGAATAAAACATACTGGGCGTTGGACCTTCACGATGATTACATCGACGTCGTCTACAACAGTCCAACATACCCTCAGCTCCATGAAAGCGACTCCAACAGTGCATGCAGCCCTACCCATACCAACTCATCTGTTCTCCAGTTTCTGTTAGAAACATTCAATCTAATCTGTCCTGCATCATCGACGAAACTTATGAACGACCGCAGCCCAGACATTGCCACATACAACAACACAGGCAAGGCATCCTCTGGAAACGACTATGTACAGCGAATACATGGACGTTCATTGCAGGTTCGTCTACAACAGTAGCGGTTATATGCAACGGCGAGCAGGAAGATGTAGGAATAGATACAACGGGAATATTTCAAATTTCTCAAGAATGCACCATTCAGACAAAACAGAACATTCTAACTCCCATAAGAAGCGCAATCGTTCCAGTGGTAGGCAGCTATGTAAAAGTTATACCCATAATTTTCAATGGTACTCTCCACAAATATCCACCGTCAGATATAGCCACCGAGCCTGTGTTTAGAGAATCCGATAGTTTTGAAGACCTAGTAAGAGAAGAAGAGGACCTCGGCGTTCGACTTCATAACAAAGTATGGCGCAGTATTCATTACCGCTCCGCAGCCACTAGCAGCATCATCATACCATAGTCATCATTATACTAGTGATTGCAGGATGGCGGACTCGGCGTAATTTGATCGACTTTCTATATTTATATTTTATTCAATATCACGGTCAGCTTGCTATATGAGATTTTCCTTAGTCACAATGTTTGGTATTATAAAAATATCCAAACATCGAAAGTTGCATTCCAGCATGCATTTAAGTAATTATGTTCACAGTATTTTATATTTTTGCAGTTTTTGTCACGATTAGTTTATCAAAATCTAATATCAAATCAAAAAATACTTTATTGTCCAAGGAAATCAAATTTCTGTTGACAAAGTATGATATTATAAATTTCCTAAATTACAATAAAATTATAACACAAAAAATTTGTTGCTAAAGCTAAAAAACGTCAAAACCAAAAGGATAAAATGTAAAAACAGTAAAACTAAAAAGGAAAGAACAAGTACTATAAAAATACAAAATACAAAAAAAAAAAATAAAACAAAAAAATAAGCAAATAACATATAGTGATAAAAAAAGCCTCTAATCTCACATAAAGTTGTCTGTAAAAAACTCTTCCAGGGTATAATATGCCTTAGTCAGTAGAATGCCCTTAAGTAACCGTCTAAAGCACTCTACACTGTTGGCAGCTTCAACGTGAATTGGCAGATGGTTGAAAATTTTTCTGCCATTATAAATAAGTGACCTTTTGGTCAGTTCTTTTGTTGGAATCGGCAGAGGCAGATCAGCTGAATGCCGAGTGTTATAAGGCGTAGTTGCACCCTGAAACTGGATGCTCAGTCTGTTCTTATAAATCAGTGCGGCCGTCTCAAGGATAAACAAAGAGTATAATGTCAGGATATTCTACGCCCGGAAATGGGGTCTACAAGAGTCCCTTCGGCCAATGTTTGTTATAAAGCGTACTGCTTTCTTCTGCAGAATAAACAATATCTTTAGAAGATATTGACTACTTGCACCCCAAAAGGGAATCCCATACCTCAGATGAGACTCAAACAGTGCAAAGTAGACCATTCGAGCCACAGCCGAACCAAGCTCCCTGTGTGCAATTCTAATCGCAAAGCATCCCGATGACAGTTTCCTGTAAGCCTAATTATATGGTCCTCAAAACGTAACCCACCATCGACAAATAAACCTAAAAATTTTGTACAGGGCTGGTCCTCGAGACGATTTCCTCCCAGATTCAAACCCGTCATATCACATCCAAAACCAACAACATTAGTTTTATTGACATTAAAACAGAGGCAGTTAGAATCACACCACTGTTTGATTATGATAAGGTCAGATGCGATGTCCTGTTTAAGTTGTTCCACATTTTTATTGCGCCATACAATTGAAGTATCGTCGGCAAAAATGGTGAATTGGCCCGATATCCGCACCCCGACAAGATCATTTATATATATTAAAAACAGCAAAGGTCCCAAGGCCAAGACAGACCCCTGCGGAACACCGCACCCAACAACTCTCGCCGACGATCTTACCCCCGATGCGATCACAGATTGGCTTCGACAAATTCAGATAAGAATGAACCCATGCGAGTGAAGATTCCCTAAAGCCGTAACGCTCAAGCTTTGACAGAAGAATTCTATGATCCACACAGTCGAAGGCCTTGGAGAGATCACAGAAAACCGAAAAAAGGATGTAAGATTCGAAATAAGTCAGTATTCATCTAGCTTCAAAAGGTGTTATACTCAAATCGTTTCCTGTTCCCAAGCCTTCTTGGCCATCGCAGGAGCGATGCTGCTCTTTGACGCTGTTCAACCAAAACGAATTGGGCAAGCGTAATCTGCGAGCACAGCTTGCACATTGGTGTTTCTAGGATTGATAGAAAAAAATGTACCTCATATAGAATTTCTTATACTCGTTATATATATTTTTCAAATGTTTATTCGAGTAAATCATCGAAGACAATATAATTTAACAATAAACGAACAAAAGTATGTCTAATCCATTCAGTGCCAGGCAATTATGAGCCAAAGGGCCTCAAAAACTCACCTATTTGAGAAATATAAAGCAAAAAAAAAGTGTTTTAAATTGTTTTCATATGCTTAGTAAGATTTTTCTATAGAGAACCTAAAACTGCTTCAATTTCATTCATCCAAAAACCCTTAAACTATTTTATTTAAGATCCTTATCAACAACTTCAGCCTTTAACCGTTCAACTAAGGTTTTCCTTATTTGCAGCTGACTAGCTTCGATATTCGACTTTTCTCCAGTCAAAACCGCTTCAGCCGCTCTCGCAGATTTTGGTCGATTTTTAGATTTTGGACCGGCTTCAGTAGTCAGTTGTTTTTGACGCGCTTGCTTTTTTAGAGCCACCAGTTTGTCTCTTTGTGCCCGAAGATATTCTTGACGTTTTTTGAATTCGAGACTGTCAACTAGATTTTGACTCATCTCTGGTTTCTTAATTTTTGTTTCGGGTCTTAGGTTTTCCTTTGGCTTGTCAGGTTTATTCGTTTCTGGTTCAGCAATTTGTTTTTGTTCTGAAAAATCGGTGAAAATAGAAAAATTATTACATATAAGTAGTTCAAATTGTACCTATAGATTCCTTCAACGTTTGTTCTAAAATTGGTTTTTGTTCCATTAACTCTTTAATTTCTGCTGTTGAGGTCGATGGTTCTTCTTCTACAAATCTTCTATAAGAAGAATTTTATTAATGAAGGTAAATTCGGTTTCATAAAATCAAGTTAATTCTCAAAGAATCTTTAAAAAACCGATAATAATTACTTAGCTACTTCATCAAGGATCTCTTTTTCCAATTTAGACTCTCTTTCGACAACCACTGGTATGTTTATAGTCACTCCGCTTTCCGGTCCATCATTTCGTTTCGGTATGAACGACTGAGGAGTTATCCCATATTTTTTCTCAATAAGTTCCAAGGCTTGCAGCTGCAACTCTACGTTACGCTGCGTCATCATTCTGACAAACATTTGGAAGTCGTTTGCCGCCCAAATTTGCTCAAAGATACTCTAGAAATAAAAATGGGTATTTTATGGATAGGTACATATTTAAATTGAAAATGTTTACATTATCAAAAGACACGTGGTATCTTTTGCCTTCGGCACAGGCATGTTGAAATTGTTCTGGATTGATGCCGATGTCCTCCATGAAGTTTCCGAGCATAAAATCAACCTGGAAAATATACTTTTTCTTTTTGCTGTGATTTGATTATGCGTAAAAGATAATGCATGTGATTTAGATTGCCTATGTGTTTTACGATTAAACCCAACTATAACAGCAACCATGCCACATAGGGTTGATAACGCGCATGCGATGCAAGAACAAACAAGAAGCTGGGCAATTGAGAAAGGCAGTCGGTAACTAGCTTTTAACTAATATGTCCGCTTATATGTAAATTCGTGCTCTTCACACTATTTGGAGGTTTGAACTCAGTATGTTCAGGTCAATGGGTTCAAGTCTGCAGAGTTTGTTGTAACGTCTGGTGTCCCATACAAGGCTTCAACCTTCAACTTGGGACCTTTGTTTTTAAATGTTTTTATAAATCATATATCAAATGTTATCAGTGAGAGTTTTTTTATTATTTGCTGATTGCCCCAAGCTTTATGGTACTTAGTGTAAAAGACATAAATGACTGTAAAATCCTCTCAAAGAATGCTATCGAGAGAATAATTTGCCCCTAAACCCCATTGAATGCAATGTTATGACCTTTTTGCTCGGAACAAAAACCATTTATATTTCATAATTCTCTTGGTGGTACCAGCCCAAATCGACCAGAAACTTTTGCAGACCTCGAGATGATATTTGATAAGAAACTGACATTCAACTGCTACATCGATCGAACTGTTAATTCGACTTACAAGACATATGGATTTATAGTTCGATGTAGTCGCGAATTTGAGAACGTGTCTACTATAAACACTTGTATATTATGGCCTTTGTGCGATCCAAACTGGAATACGCTTCTGTAGTGGCTCCGTATCATTAGCGTCATATCGACCGTATTGAAGCTATGCAGAGACGATTTCTGAAGTTATTAAGCTTCAAGCTTGATGGAACTTACCCATCTATATGAATACCAAATTCTGATCTTTTAAGGCGGTTACACACGGGCGTCGATGATTTGATACATAAATTCTCGCACAAAACTATCAAAGCTGCAAACTTTGCTACTCTTGCTACAGCGTTCCGAGTGTGCATACAGAATTTCTAGCGATTCCAGAATTCATTTGAGCGTAATTCTGCTTGCACATTTAGAAACGTGACGGTATTTTGCATACACTGATGATTTTGTTAGCGCGTTAATGTATGTGCTTAAAGTTTGTTTCGCCAGGGTTTGTACTTGCCACCAGCATTTGCTTTCCTTGTTTAACAAATAAAAATTGACTGAAACAAATCAATAACGTCAAAAACGTTCGTCGGTTCTTAAAAGAAAAGTCATTCATTTTAATTTGTCAAAAAAATTGAATGTGTCATTGAATTAATCTACGACATCCCTTTTTTTTTCAAGGTTCAAGGTCAAGTATGAACGCTGGTGAAACGAACTTTACATGTTTTCAGACATCCACGTCCGTATGTGACCGCCTTTACGAAGACATAATTATTTTTCTCCTAGATTAAGGGTGGGTATTATAAAACTACTTTGAGAGTTAGTTAACTTTAAGTTAACTTCATGAATTACATGTAATTCAAAAAGTTAACTTTAAGTTAACTGTCAAAGCAGTTTTATAATACCCACCCTTAGACGATCCAATCTGTCATTCTAACTTACAAAATTTTGAATAGGTAATTTAATTGATTGTTCAGATATACTCAGTAAAATTAACACATAAGTTCCAAGAGATAACTAATTCCAAAGTTTTAGATTTGCGTTACATAAACGCCTATCACTATATCTCCGTTATGCATACCATGCTTGCAGCGACCAACTTTGTATGACTCAATCATTGACATGTAAAATGTTATTGATATCTAGGATTTACCATAGACATTACCATTTTAATCAATAACTTTTAACACATAAGTCGGATTATACAGGGTGATTCATTAAGAATTGCACTCGGCAAAGACCGGCCATATCTCAGAAACTATTAATCGTAGTCTTGAAGAGAAAAAAGTATCCTATCAATGAATGGACAATGAGGCCAAAAAAAATGCTGGAAATATATTTTAGCTTTCTAAAATTACCACAAGGGGGCGTAACCTAACTTTCAAGGCACAAAAATGGTTTTATTTTCTACTTAACTATTATAGATCCATAATACCTAGGAAACAAAATACGTTGACATACCTATAACAACCTGAGGGCATTGTAAGCTTAGCGGGCGTTATGATCTATAACGCCCGCTTATAATCCCCTGAGGTGTTTTTGTTGTTGTTGTTTTATTAATTTGCACTTTACCCTAAGCAGCCACTAAATGTCCGACCGAAAATAATTTTCGGTCTGGCCAGGATTCGAACCAGATCTACCATCAACGTTTCCCGTGTAGTCAAGCGCGTTAACCCACACGACCACCGTTGCCTTGCTTCATGAAATGTTTATAGATATATTAATTTATTTCGTTTCTAGGTAGAGGTACATGTCAAAATACGAAACAATATTCTGTCACACAAGTTAAACTGATTTTGTTTGATACTAAATTGATGAAATAGCATTGTATTGAGTAGAAAATAAAGCATTGTATGCACTACGGGGATTTTTATATCATAATCCCCTTGGTACATAAATAGCTATTATTTTTGAAATTTCAAATGGAAACGTATCTCGAAAATGATAGCAATGAATTTTTGATGAAATTCCATACAATTTTGGTTTATGACTTTGCACCATAACTTATCGAATAAGATAAGTTATGAGCTGTTAAATATTGCAACTCAAGAAAGTGGATAACTTCAAAACGACTCAACAAATTTGGTCGATCTTAGGTTCGTTGGAAAGACAAACGTCTGCTTTTTGATTTTGTTGTAAAATATTCAGATTCTGGCTAGTAGGTCTGACTTTATGGGTAGATATTCGAAAACAATTACATTTTTCTAATTATTTGTGAAATTTTCAAATGGAACGATACATTTAAAATATATTCAATCGATTTGTTGCAATATTGTGGTGAATTTAGCCAGACGCGAAATGATTTTTTTTGCTTTTCCTTTCTTGTGATTAGGAGGTTGTCGGCCTTGGGAAAATATGGGATAGTCGCAAAGGACTAGGCTGGCGAAAACGAGTCCATCAAACGTCCTTCCAATTCAACACGAAGAATCAGAAACCTCTCGCTGTCCTGTAACGTTGTGATAGAAGAGAAAAGAGAGGTCAAGTAAGCGTGCAAAAATATTCTTTGATGGACATCACACACCCTCGATGCCCATTTCGGCATTGAGGTTTTATGTGAACCGCTATCAGTAATACAGTCAATAAAACAGATTATTAGCCTCAAACAAAAGTCCACATAGTAATCTATACTAGATTTATCCCCTACTTTTTCCCTAAAATACACCAACAGAAATACATTATTTACCGATTGCCGATATCCTCAACAAAATCCTCATAGAGCCAAAACGGAGAGAAGAGCGGTTATTAAAAAGTAACTTGGTCGTTTTCGGCATCTGATCTTAAAGAATCGGGTTTTTTTTTTCCGATAGATTTTGGGGTACTGATTACGAATCCGGCATATTCCCAAAAGAAATTCACCGGGATCACCTCATTTACGGCCCCTAAAAGGCGTAGTTTTTGTTTTTTGGCAAACGTAGCACTTCCAGAGCGTTGTACACAAAAAAACGTTTATGGTAAATTATAAAGGAGTAGGTACACAATTTCTTCATCGACAGCCATAGGTCCATCACCTACCTTATAGCGGGGGTGGCGCCCCAAAGTTGACTACTGTTGAAAAAACATGCTTCTGCAAAACTATTTTTATCCGTCAATACAAATGCGAATTGAACTGAAAACCTACGGCTATTTATCACAGATGTATGACTGAATTTTGGTATATTATTAATAAATATGGGCTATTGCGCATTTTTAAAATACGGGGTTCCATCCCCTAAAAAACACACCTTTATATTATCTGAACGACTAATGCAAGCGTGTTCAAATTTTGTATCCCCACTTCCTCCATGCAACTCTCCGAAAAAAAATAGAAACTGATGTGGTAGAAATTAGGAAAAATAGTTATTTATGCAACAAGTGTGTAAAGTGAACTTTTTTCACGAATGTGAATTTTGACGCACGAGCCGAAGGCGAGTGCGACAGGCACATGAGTGAAAAAAGGTGCTTTCGGGGGGCTGAAGGAAGGAAGTGGGGGTTCAATATAAGAATTTTTGAATAGAAACCCTACATGAATAATCTCTGAAAATTTGAACACGCTTGCATTAGCCGTTCAGCATCTCATTTAATTTCATTTAAAACAAGGAAGTTATATAGGATCACATCTATGGTCGAACCGGCAGTATAATAGATATTTGTGAAAATTTAAAAGTAATATGGGTGAGCGTGTTTTGGAAAACACCCGGTATAAACACATTATACAGGGTGTTTAAAATACCATGGGCCACCATTGGTATCGGGTCTTCAAAAAAAAAAAAAAAAACAATTAAAGATTGCTATGGTTTTTTGTCAATGAACTTTGATGTCAAAATGTCATGTCAAAAATCCTGACCAATGGAGAAACAATAATGCGACGTTCGTTTTCATAATCAAAGCAATCTTTGATCTTTTTTTTTTTGAAGACCCGTTGTTACATCAGGAAAGTTCAGAGATACGAGGGCGATTAAATTAGAATAAAGTTGCCTTTTTCGAAGGTTATTGAATATATATTTTCGTTGTTGCCAAATTTGTATTAGTTTCTGACAGGGTGCGATTTGTAAAAAAAAACCTAAAAGTTTTTTGTAAGTGAAATTGTGAGCCTCGAATTTGGGACACAATAGTTCTTTTCACGTGGCTCCGGTTTAACTAACCGGGCTACAGAACGGTTAGAGAAATGACATACCGTTTTCTAACCCGGTTACAAAGTGACGTGATGGATACCTACCACTCGAATTTGAGCGGTATGTTGTGGTTTGTTAAACCGGAGCCACGTGAAAAGGGTTCTTGTATCGTATCATAGGGATGTTGATATCGAAAAAAATTATCGATATATATCATATCGATAATTAAAATTAATATTGTATCGAGCGTTTGATATATCGTTGAAAAATATCGATATTTCGATATATCGACAAAAAAATTAAATGCTCAATTAAGGGTCGGTTTCTCAATAGCGAGTCACTTTCGGGATGATTTCAACTCCAAGGTAAGCGTATCCAGTTGCTATGTTAACCCTGGAGTTATGCTTAACCAAGGGGTGACTTGCTATTGGGAAACCGGCCCTAAGTAAAAGTATTATTGTCTGTACCTATATCAGTTACACCGTAAAAGGTTTTTTTTACAAGCAAGTTATGAATAAACAAAATATTAATTATTACGAAAACGAATATTTTTCATTTTCATTTGTTCTGAATGTCTAATGTCATTGCTTGTCTACAACTGTCACTAGGCCACTATAAAAACTTTTTTTTTTTAAATATTTCTATGATATCGCTCTACTTGCTCTGGATCGCTCGAGATGAAACCTCCTAATCGAAATTATTGCTTTGAAAAGTTCTTAGAGCGTAGAGCAGTGAATTTTTTTTGAATTGTGCTTGAGAAATATATCGAGTACCGATAGTCAACTTTTAATATCGATATACCGATATATCGAAACAAAAAATATCGGTCGATATTATCGATATATCGGAAGAAAAATATCATCCATTTGATATAGCGATATTTTTTCAACATCCCTATCGTATCATTAGCATCTACACACACTACACTACCTAGGATGTCATAAAATTAAGTTATTCACCACCTTTTTCTTTACCTACCAGATTTTTAAATTCATCAAATATTTTCTTGTATTCCTCATTTTCGGTGACGCTCGGCTCAAAAACTGAAAAAATGAAAATGTAATAATAATTAATATCTATACACAGGCATAAAAAAATATGAGTTGGATTAACATTAATACGATAATTCAGATCAGTTTGTTTCTCCCGATCTTTCTGAGTTTTTGCTACTCACTTAACGATTTTTCTTCGATAAAACTTTGTAAGGGCGCATTCCAAATGGGCCCATTTAGAAAGGCAACCAACGAATCGAATACCCACGAATTATCTTCTACGGACATTTTTCAACAATCTTGATATTCTTTGTTTGTGCAAAATGCCGATTTAATGTTTGTATGATCAGAGAAAAACGTTGTCATGGCATACGAGTTTATACTTTTTCATGAATGATGAATCCCTATTTTGCCATAAGGCAAATTTCCATTTTCTCGTCACATAAAAGTCGTTTAAACAATTTGGAGATTTTCTAAAGTTTAGCATGTTTTGTGTATTAAAATTTTAAAATTTAAACTTAAAAATCACTCATGCTGAAGTTAGCCATGAATCTCCAATTCCTGTTTAGAGCAGTGGTACTCTAACTCTAAGCACTCCAACGATTCGGGTAAAAGAAATCTAGAGCTAGTAGAGTAAATAAATAAATAAAAGAGGTTTATTGTTGTTTTTTTCTAGATTACTTACATATAATTGTCTTTCTAAAAATAATTAGAATTAGGTACTTCAGAAATTCGCACAAAAATTTAACTATTGCTTCTATAAGCGGAAAAATTGAAAGTCAGCATTTATTCGCTTCAGAAGTTCCGCGTCGTTCGGGTATTTTTAACTCGAACACGTAACAAAAAACTGCTCCGAGTTCACCCAGAACCCAGAACAATCAGCTGTAAGACAGCTGTCACTGTCACCTTTTATTGAATTTTCCTTTTCAAATTTTTATTATTTATTTGAAATTTATTTTAAATTATTTTCGACTTTTATAAACACTTTTTATACAAAATTATTAATTAAATTTACAGTGAACCGTGAACCACAAAATGCAAGCCAAGTAAAGCCTATACAGAATACGAATATTCCTAAAAATAGGTCTGATTATGTAATAGGTAAAGTTTGTTTACATTTTTTGGTACTTATATTTTTGTCCCATTTACATTTCATATACATATTTATTAAAAGTTTACTGACAATGGATGAGGTGTTATTCAGGAGTACGCAGAAGTTTGAAGCTATGCAGGTAACTAATTTTGTTATAATAACTTGTGACATGACTGTGTGTTTACATAGCATAGGATAGGACAATTAATGTGGATCAGAGTCCAGACCAGAAATAGTAATTGGTAATTTTATTACAAATTCAAAAGAGACAAAAGTTATTGTTTATGAATGACCACTAATTTAGCTCTAAACTCTTTTCTCTTATAGACCGTCAGATAGTGACATATTTAGGTGCCCCATTTTCGCATACAAGCCTCAAAGAGAGTTGAAAAGTACATCGATTTTGAGTAGGATGAAGGTATTTTTACGAATGGCTCCTGGGAATAACGTATGGAAAATTCGATTTTCCGTAACAGAAATGAAAGACGTCCTAGTGCCCATATTTTCTCGCAAGCCGCGTTCACCAAAGGATTAATTAAGAAAACCTCTGGCTGCGTAAAAACAAATAAGGGGGTGTTGCAGGTGGCTAAAAGTTTGAAATAAGGGCGAAACTTTGTGAGGAAAAATCGGGATTTTGGGAGATTTTTCCACACAAGCCCACCGGAAGGATTAAAATTTACAAATTCGGTAGCAGGACAACATATTTTCTTGAGTGTTGCTAATGGAAAAGTACATTTAAGGGTAACATAAGTAAAATCGAATTTTCCATATTATGTTATCCCCAGGAGCCACTCCTAAAAATACCTTCAACCTACTCAAAATCGATGTACTTTTCAACCCTCTTCGAGGCTTGTATGCGAATATGGGGCACCTAAATAAGTCACTATCTGACGGTCTATTATCTCAAATTCAGCAATTACATTTGATGCCTTGATCACATTTTTCTGTCTAGAATCATTTATTATTGTCGATTTCCATAATGATACTCCATTTCCAATGATACTCCTGGACCAATGTTGCTTAATAAATATTTATTTATTTATTTATCGACTGGTCAAGTCCATTTACATAACAAAAAAAACAGCATTAACAAGTTCTAAAACTATAAAATTCTGAAAACAATAAAACAAAACAATGAAACAGAAATAAATCAAAATAAAGCAAATTGAACAAATTAAACTAAATTAAATCAAACCAAATCAAATCAATGACAACCCTGCCATTAACAATTTTAAGAGAGGAGAAAAAGGAAAAAAAGAAAAACAACAGTAATATAATGGTTTTTATAAAGTTAGGCCTTTGACAGTTTGCACAAATGGTTCGCAATGACCAAAGAAATCTAAATCTGATAATTCATTGCACAGTCTGAGAGTACGAGAAATTAATGAGTGCCGAGTGGTAAGGATAATTTGTTCTATGAAACTGTTAGTGAAAAGTTTGTGTAGTACGAGTGTTCCAAGATGGAACATGCAAATCAATTCTGGAAGTTAAATAGGGACAATCCTCAGGACACTATACTAGAGGTTATGAGTTTTTGAATTAGTATTAGGTCTCTTTGCCTTCTTCTACTGGCAAGAGTTGTTAAGTGTAATGATGTGCATAAGTCAGAATATTGAAAATCATTCTCGTAAAATTTGTAATAAATGTATCGGCAGAATTTTCTCTGAACAGTTCCAATTTGATGGACATGGCATGCCTAATTAGGACTTCATATCGAAGCAGCATACTCTAAATGTGATCTGACATAGGAATAGTACAATATTCTAATCCCCATTCTAATAGCATTAATGGTCAAGAAACCCCCAGTGCTGCGTTACACAAAGCCAAGCATGTGTTAAGCCTTGTTGATTGCATAGTCAATGTGAACTGAAAAATCTAGATTTGAGGTTAACAGCACACCTAAGTCCCTGATTTGATCAACACAGTCTAATTGACTATGATTATTGTGATAGACAAAATTATTGAAGTCTCTGGACTTGTGGAATTTAATGACCTTGCATTTGAGGGCATTAAGGTCCATGCCGTTGGCATGGCAGCATTGAGATAATCTATCAAGATCTTCTTGAAGTGCTAAAGAGTCTTCAGGAGTGGTTATTTTTGGAAACAGCTTGAAGTTATCAGCAAACAGAAAAAAAATACTATGCTTGAAGCAAGATGAAATGTTATTGAAAAAGATGTTAAATAGTAGGGAGCCCAGGTTGAAACCCTGGGGGACGCCTGAGGATACTAGGATTTGATAAGATGTAAAGTTGTTAAGTGTACCATCTGAGTCCTACCTGTGATATAGCTCTTTATCTATTGCAGGAGAGCACTTGAAACACCCAAGGGCTCTAGTTTTTTAATTAAGACTTCATGGTTCACTCTGTCGAACGCCTTGGAGAAGTCGGTGTAAATAGAGTGCACCTCTTCACCTCTCTCCAATGTATTAAAACTCAAAATAATTATTACACCGATGTGAAAAAATATTAATCTTGGCCTTAAATATCACAGGATTGGCCTCAAATTTCAAATGATCAATTCGAGGATCCATTCCTAAAGACATATATTTGTGGTGGAACCGATGCAAAATGAAGAAGACGCTAAATATTAAATTTTGCTACAAGTGTTGAAATATAGACAAACATTGAAAAATTGTACTTATGAGCAAGTTTATTCATTTTACAGTGGTGAGCATTCATAGAATACACACATAGAATATAATTTAAAGAAAATCGCACCACCAGTTGGCGCGACAAGAAATTGTGCACACCAGCTAAATGCAAATAATGCGAAGTACCTACTTTATAACTGTATGATTGAACCGCACCTTAAATACCTAATACCCTGTTGGCGAAACGCTAGTGAACAGCTGATTAACAAATTATAAAGGGCCCAGAACAAAGCTATTAATTAAAGTAATATTTTCTATAGACTACAAAATATCTACTAGGGGTTCATTTTAACAATTATCATTCTTAAAGATAAAACAAATAAAGCAGCACGAATAATCGAAATTAATTTATTAGTTAAAAAATAATCTTACTAAAACTAGAGTTACATTAAATAAATGCAAGAATTTTCATTCCTACAATATAATCTCCAGACAGGCATACAGAAATAAGTCTAGTGCTACCAGGAAGTGTCAGGATTCTCCAATGTACAGAAGCATCCAAACATTCAATCCCCTTCCAATTTATATCCAAAATGACAGGCTGTCGAAATGACCCCGTGCCCTAAAAGACTATTACAAAACCAAAGACTAACCTGCTCTAAGAGAATATACAAGAAGACAAGGAGACTATTGTTATTAATATTGTATAGAGTAATGTGCCCCTAAAGGACGCCTCTAAAAATCGTTTTAAATATTGGTTGCAGTTGGCCCTCCCAAAATAATTCAATATTAGCCCTTATTTCGCGACAATCAAAATGAATCCTTTCTAATAAGAATTCCTTAGTATCATTATTGTGTTACAGTAAGTCTGTCCCTGACAAACTAAATTGGCCAAGTAAATTTTAAAGGATCCTTTTAACGGGTCTTATCTAATAGGTCTTCAAAAAGAACGTAAATCAAAGATGGCTATGATTTTTTAAGCATTTGTTATGTCATGTCAAATATGCAGACCAGAAAAGAGCAGTTGTTATATACTTATATTCAACAACAGTAACAAAAAGCTAGTAGAAAACTACAGACCAGTCAGGCTGACCAGCATCCTACGTAAATGTATGGAGAAAATAATTGCTAAGGAACCCACAAGTTTTTTCCTTAAAGCTCATATTGTACCACCCCAACAGCATGGTTTTCTCCTCCAAAAATACTTTTACGAACCTCCTAACCAGACTGAATATGTGGTTTGTCCACATATTCAGTCTGGTTAGGAGGTTGATGAGAATGATCCAATTGATGTAGTTTTGCTTGACTTTGAAAAAGCATTTGATAAGATACCAACAATATACTTATTATACAAGCTATCTCTATTTGTTAATGCCAGGTCATGCATGACTAATCTATCATGTTTATCAGAAAACGTATGTAAAACACTTGATTCTCTAGGTCAGGTGGACGTGATATATACAGACTTTCAGAAGGCCTTTGACCGTATAGATCATTGTGTGTTGCTGAACAAGTTACATGGATTTGGGCTTTCTGAACGGCTCACCAAAGTGTTTAGGTCATACTTGTTGGGTCGTACTCAGTTCGTAGAAGTTGAGGGTTTCAAGTCACAGGCTTATGTTGCAACGTCTGGAGTCCCACAGGGCTCTAATCTGGGCCCCCTTCTATTCAATATGTTTATAAACGATCTTCTGAGTGCGATCACATGTATAAGCTGGCTTACGCCGATGACTTGAAGCTTTATCACAATATAAGCAATACCGATGACTGTGTTTTTCTTCAGGACAATTTGAATACTTTGAGTCGTTGGTGTATTGATAATAATTTAGGCCTTAATTTGTCAAAGTGCAACATTATCAGTTTTTCTCGATTAAGGGCACCACTTGTGTATGCTTACACTATTGACGGAACTGCTTTGGACCGACTTGATCAAATAGCGGATCTTGGAATCATATTTGATGCTAAATTCACTTTCATTTCTCAATTAGACAACCTCTCACGGTCGGCCAATCGTATTCTAGGATTTATAATCAGAAACTCTCGAGACTTTAGAAACGAATCGACTATTAAATTATTATATTACTGCTTTGTACGTTCAAAACTAGATTATGGGGGCATCATTTGGAACCCTATTTACGCATGTCATGTGAGCTCGGTGGAGTCGGTTCAGCGTAGGTTCCTGAAATATCTTGTTTTTAGGTGTAACGGGGTGTATCCGGAGAGAGGATGTGATAACAGGGTTTTGCTCACGCGCTTTGACGAGTTATCCTTATTTATTAGACGAAAGATATTATTGATTAAATTTTTGTTTAATTTGCTCCACAATATAATTGATTGTCCTTTCCTTTTGTCTAATATTAGCATTCTGGTACCTCGTTTGAATGCCAGACGCTCACTAACCTTCTTTCTCGATACTCCCCAGACAAATGTCTTATTCCAGTCACCATTATACATGATGTGTTATACTTTTAACGGGATCTGTGATATCTGCGATATTTATAACAGCCCTATTAGTTTAATTGTTGAAGAGTTAGTGAGAACACATACCTAACTCTACTACAGAGGCAACCTTTTTATACCTTAATTTTTAATTTAATTTTAGTTAATTTTTCCTTTTTTGTTATTTTGCAATTAATTAATATTGATTTTCTTGTAATTGGGCTTCTGGCCTGTTGGAAATAAAGACTTATTATTATTATTATTATTATTATTATCTCATTTTAGAGCCGAGGGTGAATGGGGCAATTTACCGCGTCTTCTTGAAGAATTCCTTACTGGACGTACTTTTTAGGTTAGGACAGGAATATCACTCATGGAATCTTAGACAACATGGAATACTAGGAATACTCTGTACAGGGTGCTGCAATTTGGAGTGTTTCAACAGGAAAAACGTACTTCCAGACCAGATAGAGGAAAATTGACTTAGATGTCATGGGATCGATTTTCGAGAAACGTCGATTGTCAAAAACTGTATCGCGATATCTTCAATGGTACCATTAATACAGGGCGATTTTTGATTTTCCCCTATTATGAAAAATGGCTATAAGTTTTTTATTTATCAATTTTTTTCATTTCTGTAAAAACATTATGGAGACACTTTTTGGAGCACAATCCAGTGGCGGACTCAATTTTTTTCGATATCGCTCCGATTTCGAGGTAAGGACCAAATTCCGATATTTTCAAATGAAACTCCCTATATATTAATAGCTCATTGGATAGCTCTGTTTTTGCTGATTTGCTAATGATATAAAGTTCAATAGGTTTATCTCTAACAGTTTTCCAGAAAAAAAATTATATCTGTTTCAATCATAAGAAACAATGTGTTAGAAAGAGACCTTTCTCACTTTCCCTACACATATAAAATCCTTTTCTAACACATTGGTCCTTACGACAAAAACAAATATAATTTTTTTTCTCGAAAACTATTAGAGATATACCTATCGAACTTTATATCATTGAAATCAGCAAAAACAGAGCTATCCAATGAGCTATTAATATAAAGGATGTTTCATTTGAAAATATCGGAATTTGGTCGATATCTCGAAATCGGAGCGATATCGAAAAAAATCGAGTCCGCCACTGGATTGTGCTCAAAAAAGTGTCTCCATAATGTTTTTACAGAAATGAAAAAAATTGATAAATAAAAAACTTATAGCCATTTTTCATAATAGGGGAAAATCGAAAATCGCCCTGTATTAATGGTACCATTGAAGATATCGCGATACGGTTTTTGACAATCGACGTTTCTCGAAAATCGATCCCATGACATCTAAGTCAATTTTCCTCTATCTGGTCTGGAAGTGTGTTTTTCCTGTTAAAACACTCCAAATTGCAGCACCCTGTACATAGTGCGATACCACAAGGCTCAGTCTTGCCTATGAGAGTCGCCTGAATTGTCACTATGCATGTGAGATTAACTTTTTTTCGCCCTAACGCCACCAATACCAGAGGACATAACCAGAAACTTGAGAAGGAAAGATGTAACAAGTTACTAAGAAGAAATTTCTTGACAGAGTGGTTTATCAGTGGAATAGACTTAAGTTATGAAACATTTGAAACAATTAGTGCAACATCAGTAAATAAATCTAAAAACCGTTTGAATCCAGAAATGAGGGACTGGCACAATATGTCTGTGCATTTAGCACAACACAAGTGGTAAATCACTTAGGTGCTAGTTCTTCAAAGAAAACTACTCTTTTGTTCCTAACATTGAATATTTATATACCCATTGTATACCTTGGTAGTATAGAATGAAGACTATACAGTACTGTGTAGACATCATTGGTCTAGACACAGTATATTTAAGATGACTGTGATAGTATTCAGCGTGACTTGGCTTATGTTGCTGTTAGGTGTAATAGAATTGGATTTAACATCAATGTTGATAAATGTTCCTGTATGTCCTTTTCGTTAAATCATAATGTTTTTAACAATCCATATATTATTCAGGATGTTTTGCTAAATGAGGTAAGCTCTCAACGTGGCTTAGGTATAATTTGATACACAAATATGACATTTAATGACCATTATAGTAAGAGAATATAGAGGAAATTTTTAATGTACAGTAAAGCTTCACTAATCCGGATCAATAAAAACCAAGGCAATCCGAATTAATGAAACATTAATTATTGGATTATTGGAACCTTTTGAAAAGTCACAAAAATACGTCAAAAACTGTAGTTTATTAACTCAAAATAGGTGCTTATTACATAGTACAGTTAATTTTTGCAAAATATCGTGTTTTTCCGCTAGAGTTAACGTTTTGTGTGCTCTATTTGGCGCCATGATGCATCCTACCTAGCTTTCCACCCTTGTCACAGAAACAAACGCATCGTTTTCCGTGAAATAAGGGGATTCACCGACATAGACTTTGGTAACACCACCTCTAGCGATTGGCGAACTGCGCAAAAAATTATGATCCGGATTATAGAATCACAAGTAATCCGGATTATAGAATACATAATGTCAACATCTAATAAATTAATTTTGTCCGGATTACTGGGAAATCCGGATTAATGGAATTTGGATTAGCGAAGCTTTACTATATGTCTGTTTGTTTGGTTCTTATCCTTAACAAGGCTGTAATAATAGAATTTTACTCGGAATTTTATTTCGTAGGATGTTTTTGGAATGTCTTAAAATAAAAACATGTTTGTGTATGCATGTTTAAGTTGTGGAAAGGAAATACTGACCATAGAATATACTGACAGTCCTGATATACTTAGTGAATAACCGTTTACTAGTTGATTAGTCGAATCAATCAAATCAAAATGTGCTTTATTGCCGAAAAAAAAATAACTTAATATTCGTTGACAAAGCATGTTAACTAAAATCTAAAAATTATAAAAGTCATATCTATGTACTTAGATCTAAAAAATACAGACAAATGAACTAATGAACACAAAAAATAAATAAAAATAGAAAAACAAAACAAAAACATGAAAAATGGAACCTAAACTAGCTAACACCATTGTATTATTGTCAAAAATGATTATTCCTCGTCCAACAAAAAAATACCTATCAGAAATACACTCTAAAAAAACTTGTGGACAAACAGTGAAGGCAAGTCACAATGCATTTGCGTAAAACTCATCTAGATCGTAGTAGGCCTTACTGATCAGTGAACGTTAGAGACGAGAAAGTGTTTTATCTGGCTTTCCCTAGAACAAGTTTAGTTAAACAAGCACCTATACATATACAATAATCAATATACAGGGTGCAATTTCTAAATAGAATAAAATTAGTTTCTGAAAGCCTGTTTATTTTGTGGAAAAAAAAACAGGTTCCTTTATTTTTAGTTTGGCACATTTTTTCGGCCTTTTCATGGAATTTACCCTCCTCTTAAGGATAGAAACCACCCCCAACTTTTTTTTTTCAAATGTAAAGATATGTATTGTGATAGCTCGTTGGAATGGGCATAAAAAAAGGATAACGACCCATTATTTATTTTTGCATTTCGGTGATCTAGGAAGCGAGAAAAAAATTAAAACACGTTTTTCCACACAATTTTTTTACAGTTAAAATTGTTGAATATCTTCAGCATTTCTTCTTGGTAGAACCATAATGCGATACAAGCCCCATTTGTAACGTTATGTAATTATTTCTGAGGTTAACATACTATTTTATACCTGCTACTCGGATTCTCAACCCTAAAATAGTGCGTTACGGTCAAAAATAATTACATAACTAGATCACCGAAATACAAAAGTAAATAATGGGTCATATCCCTTTTTTTATGCCCATTCCAACGAGCTATCACAATACATATCTTTACATTTGAAAAAAAAAAGTTGGGGGTGGTTTCTACCCTTAGGAGAGGGGTAAATTCCATGAAAATGCCGAAAAAATGTGCCAAGCTAAAAATAAAGGGACCCGTTTTTTTTTATTTTTCCAGCTTTTTGATACTAATTTTATTTCATTTAAAAATTCCACCCTGTATACATTAACATTCATTATAACAAGAATGTGCTCTTTTTGCTGTCTTCAACTTGCACCTTACATCCTATTAAAACTATATTAAAAAATCATCAATATAGTCAATATAGTCATAGAAATTCCAGATTCAGATAACTAATGACGGATATTTATTATTTCTTGAATTTCCTTTTCTGCTTCAAGTAATTATTTCAAGTTATCATCAGTGAATCTTTTATATTTTTCAGATGCATGCCGATATAGTTGCCTCGAGAACCAAAGACCTAGTTCACACTTATTCACAAGCTACTCATGCCCTGTTAGCGCAAGCATGGCAGAGTGATAAACTGGAACATTTTAAATACAACGTCGGCCAACTTATCAGCTACCTAATAGAAATATCCAAGGATTTTAAAGAAAAGGCGATCGATGTAGCTGATCCTAAAAGATTATGGATGTATCTGGCTAGCGTTTTGAAGGGGAGATGTAAGTATTTGTTTGTAGTGAACATTGTTTTTCCATAATAAGATCTACCTTGAATTTTAATGATTGAAATTTAAATCAAATGGTAGGTTATGTAAAAAACACAAAATTTAAATAAATAAATAAAAATTACCATCACTCAAACTTTTAACCATAATCTTGAAATCCCTAGAGAGTGCAAAACGTTTATTTTTAAAATTTATTTTTAGCCTCGTATACTAATTTTTCATTACCCGATCATGCATCTGCAAATTAACTTTGGCAGTTATTACGATGAGCTTCTAAAAATATCCACATGATTGATATAACTAAGCAATTTTATCACAATTGATTTATTTGGAGTAATCTAATGCGGGATTACTTATTATTTAAACCTAAGAGTATTTAAACAATGTATTTGAAAATAACGCCTTTCCTTTCAGGGTCAGGTCGCGAAATAAGTATAGCATGTGCCGGTTTTGTGGTCGGCGGACTAGTCGGAGTGACTGTTGGATTGGCTGTACGAAGAAAAGAAACGATTACGAGATACATGGAAGCGGTGCAGATAAGTCATTATTTGGGACCTGAGGTGAGAAGGAATTTTTAATCAACAATTTATTGTATATAATTCAATTTGATAAAGTATAAATGCCAGCCGGTATTATGATTTTAGGCTGCAACGGTGGTGGAAGACGCAATAGCCCCATACGAATGTGGCGACCACGACATAATAATAAACGTAAAAGCCTCATCGGTGCATATAATAGATGCACAAATTTGTTCGGGTTATGGTAGAGTATTTAGAAGGATATTAAGGCGAATTCACAAGCAATCGTCGTCAGACCTGCCAGTGATCCTCGGCAGAGATTGTACAGGAATCATAACTGACATGGGAAGAAAAGTGAAAAGGCTCGAAATAGGTGACGAGGTTTGGGTGACTGTGCCTTTTTGGTCTCAAGGGACTTTATGCCAGACTGTTTTGATATCAGAAAACCGGGTAATAGTTTGACTTTGAATCTAGAAATAATTTATTTTAATAGATTTTTTAAAGGTAGCTAGAAAACCAAAGAATATAGGCTTCGAGGGAGCGTGCAGTATACCATATGCAGGAAGTCTGGCACTTTCTTTACTGACAGAGGCTAATATCGATTTTACGAATGCCGGAGAAAAAAGGTAGAGAATTTTTTACTGTCACCGGTAATTTTATCTTATCATCTGGTTCTGTAAAGTGACACTTTTTCTTTAGGTTTCTTATTCAAGACGGCTGTACTCCTGTGGGTTGTGTACTTATACAACTTTTGAAGAGTTGGAAGGCGCATATTACGACCACTTGCTACAAGAGGGCAGTGCCGGTAGCAAGAGCTTTGGGAGCTAGCGACATAATTAGTATAGATGATTCTGATGCAGGTAAGAATTTTTTTGGTTTAACTTGCTTTAAGGCAAATTAAATCCCCTCAAAATCTCTAGTTAGTAGTTTCAATGCAGCTTCACTAATTCCGAAGCCTCAAAGTCTTTTAACTTTGATTTTTATAAAGGCATTAGGTTCTTAAGGTCAAATAAATTTCCTTAAGGTAAAAGACCAGAAAGAAATGTTCATCTCTTCCCCATTTGCAAAATGTTAATCCTATCCCTTCAATAACAAAGAAAAAATGAAACACTTCTCAGGGTCTCTTAAGAGGTGAAGACCAAGGAAATGTTAACAAAGCATTAGAATATAATTACATAATCTTTTATTGTTTCATATATTATACTGGGTGTTTATTTGAAATGAAAGTCATCCAAACTTTTATTTCTAAGTTTTATTTTCTATAGAAAACGAATCAGGGGATCACAAACAAGGAACTGAAAACCTCGATTTATCAAAAGCTCTAATTAAAGAATTGGAAGTTAGGGGAGAACAATTTGACGTTATCATTGTGACAAGAAATCAAAAGTAAGTGAATCTAAATATAAACTAGTTCATTATTGATCATTTCTTTTAGCTTAGACTGGGACAGCTTGAATGTATTTTGTTCAAAAAGTGGAAAAATGCTATCAACTATTCCTGAGGAACTATTATCGGATTCTTGTGGATTTCTTAGCAAACTGATATTATCCGGACTAGTCAGATTGACATTCTTAACACAGGTTTGTATATTTTTTTTCTCAACCCGAATTTCCAAGGTGTTTCAAGTAAGAATATATATGAAACAAATAAATATTCCAATTCACTTTGGCTTAAGAAATTGTTCCTTTTAGAATTTCTTTGGTCTCCCACTGGCTAACTACGATGAAGCCCACCTCTGTCACGCCACCCTCGACAAACTGACTGAACTAGTTGAAGAAGGCGTTTTACAAACTGTAGTTGATAAAGTATTTCACCCTAAGGACATTGAAATGGCCTTAAGTCACATACAATCGGCTGAATCTATTGGAAGTACAGTGGTGTCGTTGAGATAACGAAAATGGATTATAGTTGCATAGCGAATCTGTATGTAGACGAAAAAATCATGGTACAAAAGTGTTTTGAATCCTGTGGCTGGAGAATTGATGAGTCATTTCACTATTTAATTTAAATTATAACAAAAATCACTTTGGCAAAATATAACACAATACTTGGCTCTGTTCAGATACATATAATGAGTGAAATGGTTAATTGATGTAAAAATTTTCTCCACTAGTAATAAAACGGTGCTAATTTCAAAAAAAAAAATCGCAAACTCAGTGTTGAAAAGTAATAATTTAAATAATATTGTGGTAATTGTAATTTTTCAGAAGGTTTTTTTTACCTTTTTACTGCCAATTGTTTTTTTATTGATATTCGATATTCTTTATTCAGTGTTGAAATATATTATACTTGATACATAAGAATATATTTTTTTTCTTATAAATACATATACTTAAAACGATTACATACAGATGCGAAAGAGCGGCGAATTCGTGGTTCAAGATTAATTTGATAGGCATAGGCTGGCCGCACCAATGCCACATCAATGTATTTTGAACATATTTATTATATAAATGCGGAAGCTCAATAATATAATATTATTTCTTTAATTGGTTCACAAACAGCAAAAAAATATTTTTTTGTACCCGCAAAAATATGTAAACACACAGGCTGGAACATGCTCACGCACTCGGCCACGTTAATTGTCCTGACGCGGGCGGTCTTTATCTATGCGTGGAGCCGCTGACGGCCCGGCTTCGTCACAGAATATTGTCGACAGCAAGTATACGTACTTACGCATCTGTATTAGGTGATCTGTGGATCTTGATCATGGGAATAACCTGCATAAGAATCTTCCTGTACTGGTAAGGAGCTTAATCTAAAAGAATCTAACCTGAAACAATTCTCTTGGCCTGTCACTTAAATTTATCTTGAGATAAATTAAAGAAGTATCATCGAACTTATTTACATTGGCGGATATTCTATTAACAGGACTGAATAGCAAGTACAGGGTGATCTATTATAAAAGTAACCCCCTGCTAACTTTTTCATTTGACGTTTTTGACAGAAGTGTCAAATGCAAAAGTTTCAAGAAATTGTCAAAAGTTTTTAACTAATGGCGTTTCCGATTGGTAAATTCAGTGTGCACTGAGTGTATTTGCATCCTTTTAATCGACCCGTAGAAGAAAAAGATAGAAATAGAAAAAATTGCACTAGTTCCGCACTAAATCTACCAATCGGAAACGCCATCAGTCAGTTTTAGGCATACAGGGTGCGTCAAAAAAGTGCAGCAGTGTGAAATTATATTTTTTTAAATGGAACACCCTGTATATTGTGCGCCTATTTGTTAGTCCCCTTTAACCTGATTTCAACGATATATGATTTGATATGTTTATCCCTCAGTTTATCTCCAATAGTTATAGGGAAAAACGCGAAAATTCCTTCCTAGGTCTCTCATGTTATTTTTTTTTTAAATAATAATAATAGCTTAGACATCTAGATTTATTGTAATATTTCACCTTGTATATTAATGAATAAAATTTGAACATTAAACTGATAATAAAAAAAATTCTATAAAGCTTAAATAGTATAGTTTTTCTTTTTCCAATATGAAACCTTAAAAGAGGTTTTCATGTTTTTCCCTATAACTGTTGAAGATAGACATATGAAACCCTATATCGTTGAAAACAGGTTAAAGGGGACTAACAAATATGCGCACAATATACAGGGTGTTCCATTTAAAAAAAAATAACTTCACGCTGCTGCACTTTTTTGACGCACCCTGTATGCCTAAAACTGACTTAGTTAAAAACTTTTGATAGTTTCTTGAAACATATGTATTTGACACTTCTGTCAAAAACGTCAAATGAAAAAGTTAGCAGGGGGTTACATTTATAATAGATCACCCTGTACCTACCAAGTTCAACAGTAAGGAATGTACCATAAAGATTTCGTGTCCAATAACGTTGATTTTCTAGATAAAAACATTCAAGACATTCGTGGCTTTTTATGTAGTAGTTGAGAATAATTAAGCAAAACAGGCATCAAAGTATTCCCATCTGCGAACAAGAGTTGTTAAGTCTAAGTAAGTCGTAGTCATCACTGAAAATCACACCTCTCGGAGAAAGTTTCTACCTTACAAACGTAATAAATTTGTGTTGAACACTCTCAAGCCTCTTTACTGACGTGAATCTGATAGTAAGGTAGACTTTGGTAAGGTGACCAAACTAGACTAGTGATGTGTAGTGTAAAAAATTTTGCTGGGAAGTATACTTGTAAAGTTCCTAGTATGTTAGTAAGATGGATTTGAACTATCTGTAAAAAAATGTGCAGCTTGTTAAAAATTATTTCCTTGCATTTGTCTATTGGTCCTGCACTAAAATCAAACTCTAGCTCCAATGTTTTCACTGATTTTCATGACCTGTCTAAGAGCTAGCGCCGACAAAAATTCTCTGAATTTATTGAAGCTAGTTTTTAGATAGTTAATTACAGTAGTTACGTACATAAATATACCGCGGTCAGTCAAGCGAAACTTAGAACAAGGGATCCAGGGTGTCTTGTTGAAGTCGTCGAGATAACGGTAATGCAACGAATTCACTAAAGCTGAAAGTTTGACACATTTTTTCGGCCTTTTCATGAAATTTACCCCTCTCTTAAGGGTAGAAACCACCCCCAACTTTTTTTTTTCAAATGTCAAGATATGTAATGTGATAGCTCGTTGGAATGGGCATAAAAAATGGAAAATGACCATAATTTACTTTTGCATTTCGGTGATCTAGAAAGCGAGAAAAAAATAAGGAAATATTTTTTCACACAATTTTTTTACAGTTAAAATTGTTGAATATCTTCAGCATTTCTTCTTGGTAGAACCCTAATGCAAAACAAGCCCCATTTGTAACGTTATGTAATTATTTCTGATGTTGACACACCATTTGATGCCTGATACTCGGATTCTCAACCCTAAAATAGTGTATTAATGTCAAAAATAGGTAATTACATAACTAATCACCAAAATGCAAAAGTAAATAATGGATCATATTCCTTTTTTTTATACCCATTCCAACGAGCTATCACAATACATATATTTACATTTGAAAAAAAAAAGTTGGGGTGGTTTCTACCCTTAAGAAAGGGGTAAATTCCATGAAAAGGCCGAAAAAATGTGTTAAACTAAAAATAAAGGGACCCGTTTTTTTAAATTTTCTAAAATATACTTAAACAGAATTTCTGATACTGAATCTATTCCATTCAAAAATTCCACTCTGTATATTACATATAAATAATAGTAATGTTAGTCAGTTGAATAGCGACCTCCTACCTCAATGGGGCCGACTGACCAGCCCAGTTCCGCTATTCAACTGACTGACTAACATCACTGTTATTTATGTGTAATATCTTTGGTAATATGTTATAATATGTATAACGATTTTCAGCCTTATTAAATTCGGTGCATTACCTATGGTTGAACCAAATCTAAGCGGCAGTAATGACATTAACTGGTCATCACTGGCGTAACTAGCCATCTGACCTGGAGGGGGGGGCCTGGCAGAGGCGCCGATTTTTGAAAGTCCTCATAAGCGCAGGATAATATTTTTATAAATATGTTTATAGGGGGAGGGGAAGCTCGCCGTAGGCGAAAATGTTTTTCCAGATGCCACGCCTAAAAACGTCTATTTTATAGTGTATCTATATATTTTTCTATTTTTTTTCTACAAGCGTGCGAAAAGTGCTTTTTTCTGCACGCATTTTAGGCCATGAAAATATCACATCATTATCAAAATAATTATGCCTGGTACTTTTATGTCCTAAAATGCCCTATGCCCTATGATTATTATCAAAGAATAGAGATGGAGAATAGCAACATTAGCAATAAGTAATAGAGCATATAGAATTGACCACAAATAACGAAAGGAAAGAATACTAACACCTCCCTAATCTAAGACTAATACCACTTGTATAATTCTTATACAAAGTTGTGTAAATTTAAATTACATACATGATACTGATACTACCACACGGAACGGAATGACCATTAAATACGTTTGTACTTTCGCATTCTCTACGAGAGCTCCGAGTACCCATGAGAGGCTGCTCATGGGAGCACCTGCTCCAATGCCCCCTTGTAGTTGGGGCCAGTTATTGGAATCTTTAAAAAAGTAGAACAGTGCAATTATAGGCGATTAGCTAAACCGGGCTTAAATCACTTACCTAGCTAACCCAGCTTCTCAGCCACTGTAAAGTATATATCAGCAATACCGATTCACGGATTCACAGGAAAACTATTAAGTCAAACTCGCAAACTAATCTGTTATATTGCTAATGCTAATTTAATGGCTTTGGTATACTGTATCACTTCTGCATATTGCAATTTGCACTGACCTTTGGCTGGCACAATTGCACACAGCCCGTTCGTTGGTGGATCGGAGGATCGGATAGGGTCGATCAGGATCGCCGCGCATTACCGTTCAAATTTAGTAGGTAATAACAAAATTATAATAGGTAACGTAGCTTTCATAAAATACCAAATTATTAAAGTTTTTTTCTGGGGGGTGGGGCTAGCGACGTCTGGGGGGGGCCCGGCCCCCCCAGGCCCCCCTGTAGTTACGCCACTGCTGGTCATTTTCATTACAACCTATCAAATGTCCTCCGTGCATGCGCACTGGCCGTGGTAGGAAGGCGGGTGTTTGTTTACAATAGTTCTTTTCACGAGGCTCCGGTTTAACTAACCGGGTTACAAAACGGTTAGAGAAATGACATACCGTTTTCTAACTCGGTTACAAAGTGACGTGATGGATACTTACCACTCGAATTTGAGCGGTATGTTGCGGTTTGTTAAACCGGAGCCACGCTGCCCTCCTAAGAATAAACGCCGTATGTTTAACAATTTCGGATATCGAGTTTTTGTTGCCAAAAATTTTCTTTTGCTTTAACTTAGCTGTCTGCCACATATGAACGCCGTATCTTAACTAGAACTATTTAAAACTATACACAAAAAACCTGCCGTATGTTCCTATTACCAATTTGTGCCAAATATGAATGCGGTATCTAGGCTCTACCAATAATAAAGGCGGTAAAAATACTGGCTGCTTGCGAACTTACCGCGTTTATCTAAAGTATGTGAATAATGCCGCGTTTTTCTTTGGTATTGACGAATTGCGATGTCACTTTCTTGCAGGATTAGACTCGCTTTTCATTTTTCGGTAAATTAGATGCATTTGAGGTGTGAATGGCTCATTATTATTGTAGTTCAATTGTCTGTTTTCAGTGTTCTTTGCTGTCTATTATTTGTTAATGTGAAAAAAATATATAGATTTCTTAGGTAAGTACTAATTTTTATTTTCATAATAGTTCATAGTTTTTTTTTTATCAGTGAAATTTTGGTACCTGACTTATTAATTATGATTTATTGGAAATGTGGGAA